CCCGCCGCAACGGCACCCTCTTGAAGCTCATCGAGGTGGTGTTTGCTTGGTCTCTACGCATCCATCGCAGCACGCACTGCCCTGACCTGCCCGCCCACCTTCCGACCCTAACACCGCCACCTCCTTCGCCATTCACCTTGCACGGTCGGCATAGCCTGTCGGATTCTGGCTTCCGGCCCAACCGTCCGCCAAGCGCCGCAGACGGCCTTTCAGAATCTGCGAACCATCTCTTCCCCGCCCTCTGACCATCCTCGCTGACGTAAAAGATTCCAACGCCGACCGCACCCTTTGCCATCCCCACCCGACTCGGAAGCAAGCAAAGATCTAGAAGAGAGGGCCCCATCGTCGCTACTCCCATCATACCCCAAAGGAGCCTTCTACCATCGAACAAGGCCCTGCAACGCCACCGCCTCCGCCACCGCAGACCCCACTTCATACTATGCGTCTGTCTGCAGCGCACCGCTGGCTAGCAGCCTTGCTGCTGGCGCTCGTCCTCGCAGCAACGCCCATCACGGGTAAGTGCAGGCGACACCATTGCCCCAGACACGAGCTTCGACCTTGACCGTCACGTTCGCTTTCCCTTCCGAAAAACAGCTCGAAGCCGTCAGAGTGGCCCGCTTCAACGCATCGCGAGAACCAGCAACGTCCAGCTCGAGCAAATCCCACCTTCGTTCACATCGGCCATTCGTTTACAGTCCAGAGCATCGTCCGCGAATCAACACCCTCTTCGCCTCAGCTTCCGCGCCTTCCAGCAGGACTTCCACCTTCACCTGCAGCCAAATAACCAGCTCCTGCATCCCGATGGAGCGCTCGTCAAGTACTACGCCTACAACGAGACTACCGGCGAGAGCTACGTCCGCTCCACCCAGACTCTCTATCCCGGCGACGTGGCCGCATACCACGGCGTCGTCGTTCATGCATCCCATACTCGTCGACGCCTGGAAGAGGACCGCGCCGGCTTCGCTCGTGACATCTACCGCGACCGCGACTTCGGCGTTGTCGGTCGAGCCTCCATCCTGCTCCATGACGACGGCTCCGTGTCGGGACAGCCCGTCTTTGAAGGAAGCTTCGATTGGTTCGGCAACGTACACCACGTCGACACGCCCCGGAGCTACCTGGCCAAGAGACAGGCCGACGATCCCTCGCTTGAACCTCGCTCGCAGAACACCGCGTCCATGGTCGTGCATCGAGACTCGGACATCTCTCTCGAGCCCAGAGACGAAGCGACGAGCACCACGACCTTTAGCAACTTTACCCAGTCCATGGGCTGCTCCTCCGACGCGCTCTCGTTCAACAGCCACAACCGCCTCGTGCTGAGCGACGACACCAACGATGCCACCAGCCGTTCCGTCTACTCGTTTTTCAAGATGCCTGCTCCACCTCGTCTCGCTCGTCGAGACCTCTTTTCCGGCTGGAACGATCTTTTCACCAGGTCACTACCAGACGACCTCATCGAATCGAGCCAGGCATCTCCCGACGACTTTGTCTACCACGAGGACCTCGACGACTACCTCGAGCCCACCTTCCGCAAGAGGCAGGCGACGGGTAACGACATCGGCAACGGCTCCAACCAGACCAACAGCTACGAAAACGTCATTGGCTCCACCGCTGGCTGTCCCAACAGCGCCCGCGTCGTCTATGCCGGCATCGCTTCCGACTGTGCCTATACGCAGAGAAGGGGTGACCAGGACGCCGCTCGTACCGAGATCCTCAACAACATGAACTCGGTCTCCAACCTGTACCGATCCACCTTCAACATCTCGATCGGTGTCGTCGAACTCGACGTCCGCTCCGGCAACTGTCCCGCCACCGCCACGCAGGATGCGCCATGGAACATCGGCTGCGGCACCATCTCGATCGACGAGCGCCTCAGCGACTTTTCGCAATGGAGGACGCAGCAACCTGGCAACGGCATCGGCCTCTGGCATCTCATGACCGCCTGCAACTCGGGCAGCGAGATCGGCGTCGCCTGGCTCGGCACCGTTTGCATGACCACCGGCTCGAGCAGCAGCGGTCAGACCGTCAGCGGCACCGGCGTCAGCTCCATCACACAGCAGCAGTGGCAGGTCATGGCGCACGAGATGGGCCACAACTTTGGCGCTATCCACGATTGCACCAACGGCTGCACCAGCAACTCCAACTACGCCACCCAGCAGGGCGGTGCGCCTTGCTGCCCGCTCTCGGCATCGAGCTGCAACGCCAACGCGCAGTACATCATGAACCCGTCGTCACGAGCCAACATCCAGAGCTTCAGCCAGTGCTCGATCGGAAACGTCTGCTCGCTGCTGGGACGGGGTCTCGACACCTCGTGCGTCCAGACGCCCGGCGCACGCAGCACTCTGAGCACGCAGCAGTGCGGCAACGGTATTCTGGAGCCCGGCGAGGAGTGCGACGCCGGACCCAACGGCTCGCGATGCTGCACGTCGGAGTGCAAGCTCGCCTCGAATGCCCAGTGTGACCCTGCCTCGAGCCCATGTTGCTCGGATTCGTGCAGCTTCGCACCTTCGTCGCAGATGTGCCGTCCTTCGGTGGACAGTCGATGCGACACGGCCGAGTACTGCACTGGATCTTCCGCCGAGTGTCCCGCCGACCAGACCAACGAAGATGGCAGCTCGTGCGGCAACGGTCTCACGTGCGCCAACGGCTTCTGCACTTCGCGCGATCTGCAGTGCCAGCAGGCATCCACCGGCTCCATCTCGTTCCGATCCGCATGCTCGGCGTCCAACGCCAACTCTTGCCAGCTGACGTGCCAGAGCCCCACCTCTCGCAACCAGTGCCTCATCCTCCAGCAGCCCTTCATCGACGGCACCAGCTGCGGCTACGGAGGACGTTGCGAAAACGGCGAGTGCAAGTCGGGCTCGTGGCAGACCACCTTCCGCAACCTGTACAAGGACAACCTCCGGATCTCGATTCCAGTCACCATCATCGTGGGCATCATTGTGCTGCTCATTCTCTGGGCCATTGTGCGCCGATGCTGCTGCTCGTCGAGGCGACAGCGAGGCGTGGGCGGTGCCAAGGCCTCGAGAGCGTCCCGAGGGCCCAACATGGGTTACGCCCCTGGCTCCGCCTACAATCCCGTCGCCACCCCGCAAAGCACCGGAAGCGGCTCGAACGCCCCCAACGGCTTTGCGCCACCTCCCGGACCTCCACCGCCCGCTCGAGAGTCGTACCGTCCTTCCCGCCACTCGGCATGGGTCGATCCCGCAGCCTTCAACGGCCCGCCCCAGCCTCCACAGCGCTAGACTAAGATCCACACCCGAGCAATGACCTGCTCCATTCCTCTCGGACACTTCTTTCCCTTGTTTGCAGTTCCTTCATTGTACTCTCCGCATCTATCTCATGGATCGACTTTAGCACGGCCGTTGCTGTCCGCACTGCGCTGTGAGCGTGAGCAACCACCAGGAGCTGCTACATCTCGGGTGCTCAAGTGTGAGATCTCGGATTGCTTTGTGGGGCAAAAATTGCGCGCTGAGCCCGTGCGGATTTCACCGAGGCCGGAAAATCGAGTGGTGACGAAGCGGCCACCTCGCCACCGCCGCGGCCGCCAAGAGCGGGAGAGGGCTCAATTTCCAAAAGTGGTGGGCACGCACGTTCTGTTCGTGCAGCTAGCTCAGCACGGACACCTGGGCCTCCCACCCACAGGCGCCAGCCCAGTGTCTCACGTGCTGTGCTGCTCACCGAAGCTCGACGGCAGGGCGAAAAAACATGCAAGCCGTCGAGCAAAGCACTGGAGCGCAGGCTTTGCAACGCTCTGCTCGCTCGGGTCACTTTGAGATCTGTTCAGTAATCCCAATCCCAACCGGAGGCAGTCGCGCTTGCGCAGCCTGCAGGTCGTACTCCCGCACCACCACCTACGACCACCAGCTACGCTGCCGTCGATATCTTGCCGGCTCAACGTCGGACCGTGCTCTTCTGGCGGCCACGAAGACACGCTCGGACGCGGCTTGGTCGAACTTTCGCACCGTAGCAACCTCGATGGGCGACGAGTGAGCGACGCAAGCTTGCACGGTTCGGTCCCACTTCCCACCCCGGCGCATCCCGCTGGCTGTCTTGTCCTCGATCTCAGCGACCCAAAAACCATGCTTTCCGCAAGCCCCGATCACACTTCCGCCGCCTCACCACCTGGAGCGCCCTCGTCACAGTCGTCCTCCGTAGGCTCCTGCTACACCTCTTCGTCCTCGCAAGCTTCCGTTCGAGCACGCCACACGCTCTCCGACCCCTCTTCCAGCTCCACCAGCCCAGCCAGCGCCTTTGATCGATCCTCGGACTACCACACCGCTCCTGCACCTGCCAAGCGTCCTTCCAACGGCGCCGCGAGTGCGGCACACACCAATCACTCCTTTAGCGCCCTTGCCGCACAACAGACCGGTTTGGCGCCCTCCGCAGCTTCCGCAACTATGAACCCGCACTCGACTGCCTACGAGGCCATGGATCCTCGAGCATATCTGCGCGCCGGTCCCTCGAGCAGAGCGCATCCGGACGCTGCGACGCCATCACCAAATGAGCCGCGATATCCCCAGAGCGGCAGCCCGGATAACAGTCGCGCACCTGCCGCAAAGACCAGACGTACCAGCCCAGGAGGATCGCGTGCATCTGGCAACCTCGCACCCTCTCACTACGACGGGACCGAAAGCCCGCACCCGGAATACAGTGCCATTGCCCACGCACCTCGAAGCTCACAGCCTGATATGAGCGCCAACTCATCGGCCTTCACGTCCTCCAATGCATCGACACTGCATCCGTCGTCCTCGTTTGCGCCCATGGACTGGAGTTCGGAGGCGAGTGCACATGCCTCTTCACACCGTGCAGCGGGTCCTGGCGATCCTCGGTCCGTTACCAGCCACATGCCGACGAGCAATGCGACCATGGCATCCACTTCGTCCTCAGCTGCCTCTCCGCGCACATACTCCGATGGGCAGTCACATCCGGCACATCAACACGCACCCTTATCGTCCGGCGCACAAGCTCCCGCATCCATATCATCTCGAGCCTCTGCAAGCTCGTCGGCGGACCGGGCCGAGACCAAGTCGCATGCGCAGCCCATGCCCAAGATGGACCTTGCCACCTTTCCGCCGCAGGAGCTGCTCAAGATCCTCGCAACTCTTCTGCAAGAGATCGCATCAGCCAACGACGATTTCCAGCCGGACGGAAGCAAGGACGAGTCGCGCAGCCGAAGAGGCGCTCGCACGCGAGATCGCTCGACTCCAGCGACGCCCGCAGAGGCCTCCGACTCAGCAGACACCGCGGCCGCGCGCGATTACGCCGCTCCGCCGGGCTCGCATCTGTCGTTCAGCGACTCGCGCCGCCCGTCGGTGACGACGGCGGCGCTGGGCGCGCTGGCGACGCCATCAAGCACGCTGTGCTTCCACGCACGCAACGTGCCGAGCATCAGCATCGAGTCGTACTTGCTGCGCATCCTCAAGTACTGTCCCACCACCAACGAGGTCTTCTTGAGTCTGCTCGTCTACTTTGACCGCATGAGCAGGATGGGCACGGGCGCCAAGCCAGGTGCCAACGGCGGCGGCGAGGCAGCAGGCGAGGCTGCGGGATTGCCTCGCGCCCTGGAGCGGGCGACGGGCCAGGCCGACGCTGCGTCGCAGCCATTCGCAACGCGCAGTTCGGACGGAGAGGCGTCGTCGTTGGACAGCAAGCCAGAGCACGCCGCGGCGCATCCTGGCATCCGTGGGTTTGCCATCGACAGCTACAACGTGCACCGACTGGTGATTGCAGGCGTGACGGTGGCAAGCAAGTTCTTCAGCGACGTCTTCTATACCAACAGTCGCTATGCCAAAGTGGGAGGCTTGCCGCCGCACGAGCTCAACCAACTCGAGCTGCAGTTCTTGCTGCTGAACGATTTTCGGCTGACGATCCCGCTCGAAGAGATGCAGCGCTACGCGGACCAGCTGCTCATGTACGGTAGCGGCAGAGCCGAGCTGGCCAGGTCGACCAAGCAGGCGAATCCAGCCGGAAGCTTGGGCGCAAGCCGGCCGAGTGCGGCGGCCGGCGAACCAGTTGCCGGACGGCCATCGACGAGCGCAGCTGAAAATGTGGAGCACGACTCGGCTGGAGCGACATTGCAGACGGCACCTCAGGCGAGACCAACAGACGAAGCAGGTGTCGACCCACAGGGAGACGTGCACATGTCGGATGTCAAGACAAGCTGAGCGCGTGGCTCTCTGTCGAGCTTTGTTTGCGGCTCACGCTGGGCATGTCGGGCGAATGTCGCGTGACAGGGGGCGCACGCCAATTGTCTGGCTCGGATCCAGCCAGGGGTGTTGGGACGGTGGCCCAGGACGGGATCGCCGTGCACTAGATTGCACCATTCCCGTCTGACAATGACGCACGTGCGCGTCTTTGGCAGCGCCTTGAATAGTTGGGACGGATCTAGTATCTTATTATGTTCGAAGCTGCACGCACGCAATAGCAACTTGACGCAATGTGACGCATGGTGCTGTGCGAGGCGGCAAAGGAGAGAGCGGCCGGCTGGACCGAGTGGGCAACAGGTCGGGCACGTTTCAATGGCAGTGTGATGCACGGACGTTTCTACCTGTATGGCGACAGTGGGAGCCAAGCTAGGTTGGTTTGCGCGAGGCTAGCGGGCATCGGAAACGAATGTGCCGGGGCGCAGCGAGCCAGGCGGAAATGCAAGCCGCTAGCTACGAGCGATGCGGATA